AATTGCCTCAGGGGTTCCAAAATATTGCTGGGATAGCCTTGGAAAAGCCTTAGATCTTCCGTAACCCGCGCTTTATGATTGTTGGCACTTAATTCATCGAGCCGTGGAATAACGAGACATTGGTCTCTGGCGATATCTTTCGTATATTTTGTTGATATATCGCTCTCTGCGGGATGTGATGCTTAAAGGATATTAGATGGCGATTACAGAACACATTTTCTATTGCAGTTTCGATTATCGATACCAGTTTTGTCTGATTTGGTGGGGGTCGTTGACACGGACTGTAGGGAATGTTTTTGAGTTTTCTGGTTCGGGTGGTGTGGGGATATTATTCAGCAGCGGCTGTTCCTTTTGTTGGGTCTTTCTAACACCAGACTTCTTCATTCTTTCTCATTTCCTCATTGACTGCTGTCAATTTGATTTTTCTATCTTCGTTCTTGCGCAGACGTATCTGTTTAGGAGACAGTTGTATAGAGACTTTCAATTGAGGTACTTTTGCTTTTCTCCTTGTTATTCTTCAAGTGGGGGCATTTTTATTTTAAGGTGTACCTAATTATTTTGCAGAAGAGCCTTTATCTGTTCAGTCTCTTCCTCGATATAACTGACACTGAGGGCTAACAGCTGGCATCCACTACAAACCCCTTTTGCGTGTGGCTCGCCCGTACAATCAATATAATTTTGTAGGAGGAGCTGCAACTGCGTTGAGGTGGCCGATTGGTCTGGGCTGTCGGACGGCTTTGCGAGGATCGTGAGATCGACGGCGGAATTTAGGCAGCAGCGCATATGCACTTAGTGCTTTGTTAAATTTGGTAAAAAGCAAAATCTTTGTGAACGAATTTAAGGAGTAACGGTTTTATATCAGTCGCTCGAAAAACTCAAAAGTGGAATGTCTGATTGGCGTTTCATCTAAGTCTAGATTTGACATTTGTTTAGGACCTGAATATAAACAGCGCGACAAGTAGACATATTAATAATACAAATTTCTCGACTCTACCTTTGTAGACGTTGCACGGAAACACTAAGCACATTGAGACAGTGTTTGTGAACGGTAGGTGGTGTAGGTCAGGGCGAAGTTCCAGCGGCAGATGAAGTTTGGGGATGAGTCTTCCTGATCGTAAGATAAAATGTCGATAAGGTGTTCTATTATCCAATATTTTTGGAGAAGCCGTTTAAAAATTTAATCAGCGCGGGCGAAATTTGATTAACTGTGCAACACATTGTTTACGAGCAATCCTCTATAGGCACAAATTAAAGCGTTAGGTTAAGTTTACAAACCAGTGTGGCTATTCAGAATCACCGCGATTTATCAGACATTCAAATTTTAAAGAACGCAGAGATATTACCGCATGTCGTTTTGCTCATATGCTATTATTCCGTAATTCCACCGCCTGTGCTGACATGACTTTTGTGGGCTGTTGTTGAAACATGACCATACTTATGCAGGATGACTGGATAATGCCTAGAGGGCAGCATCTCGAATACTGATAGCATTCTTTTGATTGTAACGCAACCTTCTTAGCATAACTGTCCTCTACCTGAAAACCACAATGCAAAAACATGTACCTTTCATTTTATTTTCAAAATCAGTAGTTAATGATTTTGTTAAAAATGAGAAGCAAATTTATCAACATGCATAATATTAATTATTGCCTACAGCATTTCACGCTTGTACTCAAAACTTATTTGTGTTAAGGGGTGTGCAGATGGTTATGCAAAATGCAAAGTCTACCATTTTCTTCATCAATAAATATTCATTTTAATAGTGACCGCTTTCTTTATGAATGCCAACTTTAATTTACCAATTTATAATATATCGGTGTGGGTTTGATGGTCTTTTTTCTATTAAAAACTGAAAATGGAGTAAATTTTATAAAATGGCAAATATAAATCACGTCCGCTAGGGCCATGAATATCGGCTATTCTCGGTGAAATCTTATTATATAGGGCGTATGTCCTGCAATAAATGCTCAAACCGCGTTTACTTATAGTGTCCGTACCACACTACCATAGGTAGGCTAACTCATAAATGTAAACCGAAATTCTGAAATGCGTTTTCGTTTCAAAATTACTAATTAAGTAGTGTTGTAAATCTGTTTAGCTTGCAACGCAGTTCTATAATATTTCAATTACGACAGGTTGCCGGTTTTCTAATGGACTTCCTTCCGGCTCCATAAGGAAACAACACTCTACAAAAAACGACTACCAAAAAGCATATATTTTTTTCATTTTTTTCAATGCCCAAAAATGTTCAAATATATTTCATGGAAAACATGCATAAGAATATTCATTCCTTAGGCATATTTGGTAGTCAATTACGTCTTTTTCTCATCGTATACTCTAAGGAAGGGTTTACTACGGTTTTCAAAAAGTTTTTTTAATTCGCAAATAAGTTTGAAGACGCTCTACCGTTACATTTGAGTTCTGAGTTTAAAAAATGTAAGCCGCATATTTTCCGCGTACGGAAAACCGAACATTTTCTACGGTAATAATGGAAGACCGTATAGGGCTCATACAATTGAGCAGTGGATTTGACCCATATTGTTAACTTTACAAGCCACTTTGGTAAATGCAACGACTTGACGAGTTATGAACTTCCACTTCGCGATCTGTTAGTAATAAAGGCCAACGTCTCTATCCACGGTGCCACGGGCTCGTTATATTGTCCGTTTCGATCGGGAATATTCAATGGTAGTGGGGCGTTTATCGATCGTTCAACTGAATTCACTAGTCCCTTTGTGACTTTCGGGCTATATATTGAGCTCAACAAACAGCTGCGCGGCGGCGGCGCATGATAAAGATAGTCGTTCTCGGTAATACCATTGAGCCTATATCATGCGCTGCTGTGCAGCTGCTGGTTGGGTTCAAGAGAGAACCGCGTGAGGCAAATCGGGATGGAAGACATCCTGAAAAAACGGTCACTGATCGCCACTCTGTCATTTGACATGGACTTTTGCTTTCAGCGCTATGACTTACATAGTTGAAAACGACTTCCGATATTTAGTAAAGCTATTGATTCCCTCGAAACATGTGATGCGCGTTTTTAAAAAAAATGCGAATTCCAAATATGATAGTCCGCTTGCCTTCTTACATGTCTAGTTAAGGTATTAACCACTGGAAGATGATGTGCAAAAATGATTTGTAGACTGTACTTAAGTGTCAAAACAGAGGACTGCAAAATGTTTGGTTAACGTGAAAATTTTTAATAAATGCCAACCACACGTTCATTTCAAAAATCAACCTCCATTTTTAAAATGCTGCATATTTCCTGATATCTATTTTTAATACGTTGTCTAATAATGACATTCTATTGAAAGTGTTTACAATTTTAATCCGTTTAATAGCATGCATAATTTTACTGAATGCGTTAAACGTTAATACTGGAAGCGTCAAAATATTTCGAGAACAGTCATTAGCAGCGTGGAAGTATGTAATCCTCAGAGGATTCAGTAATGCCGAGATCTAGCACATACTATCAGATAAGTACTCACGTTACCTGCCATTCTTAAGTGCAAATAAAGTTATTATTTGTTGATATATCATCTGCAGTACAAAATAAACAGCAGAACACAGAGAATTACTCTGATGATCAATATTCATTGGTGTTCACTCGTACAATAAAAAATAACTTAAAATGGCTTCAAGGCATTAACTGTGCGCGCACTTGCCGCACGAAAGCCGGCAGGCTATAACGTGGTCGTATCCGATTACAGCAATGACATTGTAATACAATCCAGCTCATCTAGATAGGTAGGTGTTCTGGTGCAGTAACGTCCGTTTCAAGGTAAGCTACACGATAATCGTCCATCACGAAGACCCAAAAAGGGAGCCGGCAATGAAGAGACGGTTACGAAGAGATCGCGTATCTCAAAAATGCTGAAAAGACCTTTGCTTAGACTTTGTAAACAAGTGCACACAAAATCACTATTCCCATCTTAGAGCTGATGAGGGCATGCTATGCGATGAATACAGAAACGTGTGCTAAAAATCATTGTCCAGGACGACTCGTGCACACGGCGTGCTAATTCCCTGATGGCATGATAGCGTGCACTACGGACGACAGGGTGATCTAAGGAACATTATCAGTGACTAATGGAATGAGAACAGTGAAGCATGTTGTCTCCTTTTACTCTCAGGCTGGAAAGGCCATTTTTGGCTTATTTACATTATCAGCAAACCACACTGACCCACATTTATTTTGTGTTCCCTTGGGACATGAACATGTTACCTGTTGGTTGAATGTTGTATACACTAACCATCAAATTCCAGGCTAAGCTTCCATAAACCTGACGCTGTGAAGGCCCAGTCGATAACGGCCCATTAGCTAATTTTGTTTATTCCTGTCTCCCTTTTCTATGTCAGTAATAGGTGCTTTGGGCACATTAAAATACCACAATTGGGTCAGTATTTTAACCCTCAGTTTTGATGCTTATACATCGCAGGATAACATTTGATAATAAAACTACTTAGTAGCTGCTTATAACGATTGAGTAAATTCGTATCGGCCATACTGACTTCGAAGCCTTAAAAATAAACTGCTTGAATGCCAAAGAAACTAAATGATCACGCACTACTGTTGGCTTGTCACATGAATACCTTCTTCGAAATATAGAATTAGCTGCTCGCATCGGCTGGCTGTAACCGTTTTATAGTGACTTAAGGAACGTCAGTCCCATGTCACATGCGAATCCAACCCCATAAAAACACTGACGCGTAAGATTAATGCGACGCTGTTGGCAATGGAGAACTCAGGTGTCATATCGTCAGTCGACCGACGCATGGCGAGAGCACAAGAAACGGCCCTAGCCCAATTTTGCGGTCTCCCAAAAGAGGGGACTCCTCTCCGGCCTATCGTATCACTATAAGACACTCTAACCTACGGACTGGCAAAGTCGCTGTTCCAACGTCTCAAGTTTCTGAACTCCAATTCAAACACCACAGTCAGCTCGTCAACGCAATTCTTGGAGAAACTTAAAGGAGTAAGTCGTCTGCCAAGCGATGTCATGGCTTCCCTTGATGTCACGTCCCTTTTTACTTCCATCCCGCAGGACCTGACAGTCAGGACCATTGAACTACTCCTACCAGAGAAATACGACGAAACGGTGAGTCGCCTCAGGCACGCCCAAATCATCCAGCTCCTGAAGTTCTGTCTCAAGACGTACTTTACGTTCGACGGAACAATCTACCAGCAGGTGAAGGGAACGCCAATGGGTTCGCCGATTTCGGCACTCATAGCCGAGGCGGTCCTACAACGGCTGGAGTCGCTGGTTTTTCAACACCACAGACCGCAATTCTGGACTCGGTATGTGGATGACACCTTCGTCATCATCGAACGGGATGAGGTGCTGACATACAAAGAACATCTCAACGCCGTCTTCCCGGACATTTAATTTACGATGGAGGAGGAGGAAACCAACCAGCTGGCCTTCATGGATGTCCTCGTCCGCTGCAAAGATTGTGATGGCCTAAAAACAAATGTGTTCAGGAAAGCGACAAATACGCCGCAAATACTGAACTTCAATAGCAACCACTCGATCACTCACAAACGCAGTTGCGTAAGGGCGCTATACCGGCACGTTAATACGCACTGCAGTGAAATGGAAGACAAGGTTGCTGAATTACAATATCTTTGACGGGTAATGAAAGCCAATGGTTACCCGCGCAATTGCGTCAAGCAGTGCATACGAAAAGGACACCAGAGACCAAATCAAACCGGCCCCAAATTTTGGCGGGAACTTCCGTACGTGAAGAACGTCTCAGAAGCCGTCAGTAGTCTTCTCACTCCACTTGGAGTTGGGATTGCACAGAGGCCAGAAGCAACCATTAGGCGCCAAGCCATGAGGCCTTAAGACCCGCCGCCACGGCAGGACACGTCTGGAGTCATTTACCGGATCTGGTGTACTTGCGGACAAAGCAATTATGTCGGAGAAACTGGAAGATTACTCCGTACGCGAATTGCCGAGCACGCAGCAGCAAGGAGGCGGGGAAACGTTAGCTCCCTGGTGGCGGCACACTCGACGGGACCCGGCCATATTTTCAAATTTCAAGAGGCAGAAATCCTCGGAAGGGGTGACAACCGCGTGAGCCGCGAGCTGCTCGAGTCATGGTTCTCAGGCCCGCAATCCATCAACAAGCACAATGACCTCCCGGTACCATATTCCGTGCTGAGATTTTTCCTCGACTGTGGAAACAGTCACGTGGGAGCAATTATCACATTGACAGTGAGCCAGTTTGCCAAGCAATCGTCACACCAGCATCCAGCACGGATGACTAAATCGCGGCGATTAATGACTCGGATTCGGACCGACAAGCCACTACCGCATCAATTACGACCCCAGCGTTGATCGCGAGAACTGTTAATTGCAGTGCGCATACGGTCCCACGACAGCCACGTGCTATAATAACTGCACTCCCTGTGCCATCACCACCTTTATCTGCGAATGTCTCTGATGATGGATTCGGGTGAATATCCGAAACGTCAGGCCAATAAATTTCTTCTTCCAGTGATCGCATCTTCGTCTTCTGAACTGATATCTAAAGCCAGTCTGGATTGTGACTGGTTTGTGACTGGTTTTGCTGTAACATCGTCCTTAGCTCCAAAATCAGATTCAGTTCAGTTTATTGAAGAAACTATGCATGAGCCTTCGAGTACCTTAGTTATGGACGGCGCATGCTCACAAGGCCTCACGGGTATCAAGCCAGAGCGTTCGGTGCGCCTGAGGTGATGAAAGTTTGTGACGTCAGCCGAGAGTCACAGAAGTTAAACTGGAGGTGTCCCAGTTCTAACCGGCGGGGGTGGCCGTGTGCCAACAGCTGTCGCAGCCATCGTTCGACAAAACGGAGCCGGAGAAAGAGGGGGACTGAAGCGGCTGATACATTCCTACGTAAGTCACTCTAGCTCCTTTAACTACCATCGTGGACCTGGTTTTCCACAATTCCGTTTTTAAAGTTGCCTGCCCTCACCACTACCCTCAATCTTCTCTTCAGTCTCCTTCCTTTCCAACCTACAGCTAAGCGTACCCCTGTTCTAAATCTCTTATCATTCAAATGTCGTCAAACTTTATCCCTACATCTTACAGGTCTCCCCCTCAGATATTTCATCCTTACTTTCCATATTCGCATCCAATGTTTTTCTAAATGCCATTGGCTATAGCCGTGCTGCTCAAAACACATTAAATATTATATTATTGAACCATTAGGTCTGCTACACACAAGGTGGCCCAAATCAGAGCCATTGCTCTCGAAATGACAGAATTCTGTACCAGTCCTTGTCGCTTTATATAGATGAGTACAATGTCTACCATCAAGACCGCACAAATAGGCGTGAGAGCAGTTGCCCTTAGAATTTCCCTTAAGCACTCTCTCTATGTTCCGAATGTCCCCCTCATTCTCAGGGAAATTCGGCTTTGCATCTCTTATTCTCTTGTCATAAGGAAAGCATAATCTTGGCTGCGTCTACAGTCCTCCAAACTCTTCATCCAGTCAGGACGCGTAACTTTGTGGGATCTCTCAATAAACTTCAGAATCTTTTCCGATGTTGAAATAATAACTGCAAATTTTCACCCTCGGAAAAATGTCTTTTGAACTATTTTTCACAAGATACTAAGCTTTCCAGGTTATTAATAATTGCTCTAACTGGTCTCAACTGTGGTGCCCCTCAACAACAGATAATCACATTTCAGATGTAATCTTTACAAACCGTGTTGCTCTGCTTTTCGATACTTTCTAGCGGACGTTTTTAATAGTGACCTTGTATTAATTCTTTGGTGCCTATCACACGCATTTTCAAAAAAGACTATCATAGTGCCAACCTACCGGGTTACAATTGCATGGACAACGCCTTAATAAAGACTTGTTTGGATAAGTGTATTGGCCTAGCGTTCTATCCAGTAATGATGCAAAATCTCTTTGTGACGTCATGTCCAATTTTAACAAAGTAATCATATAACTTATGTCTTCAAAATATCTCAGGTCTTACTTCTTTCATTCCCTTGTTACGCATGCTCTTTATCACAGACTGCAACAGTTGAGAAGGCAGCCGTGTAACTTTTCCACGTTTTCTTTATTCGCCAACTTCAGAATCAAAAAAAAATTTTAAATGTCCTCGAATATAAGTTGTGCTCGCGATGGGCAAGGGAAGGTTTCGTATAGCCGATGTCTCCTCAAACCAATTTAACGGACGCATGAGTTGCCTAACACCCACAGTGTTCGCGGACGGACTTTATTTTAAACTTAATTATCAAACAGGCATTCTGCATACCCATATTGCGTTGTAATTTATTTATGATCGTTATTCGTGTAGAGTTTTCTCGCACACATGCAAGACTTCGATCATGTTTCCAGTTTTTAGGCTTCGATCTAGATCCAATGCCAATCTTTATCGGGATGGGCAGAAAATTACGTGTCTAGAAAAACTTCTTCAATAGATTATTCTCAATGCTAGCCTTGACTTCTATTTTTTACGGCTTTTAAACTAAAGTCAGCAAAGACTTTGACCTATATCATCATCCCAAACCTGCCACTTAGTTTTTCTTGATTAAATCACTTTTCTACGTTATGGACAACAGGTAATGGTACGTATCTACTCTGAGCTAGAGACCAATCTAGCGGAATGATACACCCGTAAAATTTGGACAGACGACCGGCGTGCACCGCAACGCCGAGCATATGTGATGGTTTTGTTCACGTGTGCGGCCCAATTAGTGGCTGGTCAAGCATTCCACGCGGTGGCTAATCCGCAACAATCACGCTCAGGGCAGGAACATTCTAGAACGTCCTCAACGGCTGGCACGCCATTGGGTGAAGTGTTCCGGGACGCACAAGAGCCAAGATAAATATGGCGTCTTTCTGACTAGTCGTAACGTAACGTGTTCGCGGACTGTCAATAGAAGGCTTGTTCTCCTAACCGGATCTCTTTCCGCACCACCTTCCTTTCGAGTCATGACAACTAACGACGCGGGCGCAATACCTTATACCAGGCGAATTAATAAGGCACATACTGGAAGCACAAGAGACCGGCTTCGTGGCATTACTTACACAAATGCAAGTAATTTGGACTCCGACAGGAAAGAGCAAACGGTGTGAACATGAAGATAGGATCACAAAATTCACCTATGATCCCGAGAGGGACATCAACTTTGAATTGCAGTACTGAAAGTATGCACCGCTATTTAAAGGAAGCAAATCGAAATTGGGAGGGAAAGAAAATATTGAAGTCCTGCTCATGAGGCTAGGCCAGCACGAACATGAGCGGTAGACAAAGTTTATTTTGCTAATGAAACCAGCTGATCTTTCATTTGAGGATACAGTTAAGAACTTAAAGTCCTTGTTCAGTTTTCATATTCGTGATTCGACCTGTGTTACGACTGTTTAAACATAGAAAGACTAAGATAGATTATTATGACCTAGCTAGATACGATACTTACGAATGTGTCGGGACTATTTCATATCCGGACGCCATTCGCGATGTTAGCAAATCAGAGGGAGAGCTGCCTCAAAGGTTGCACAAGGTGGTGGACAACCTGAAATACTACGGCCTTAAGATCAATATGGGAAAAGTGAATTTTTGCTGGGTTTTATGCGGAAGCAAACATTGCGACACCGCAATGCAGTTCGTTTGCGCAGTCGTTGACGTATACGATAAATAGCGAAGGGCCAAGAGCAGAGTCTTGGAGAACACCACTCCTAACGGCAACCTAAGCAGAGTGCTGGTCACTGACGTGGACAGCTTGACAGGGACCGAATAAAAAGCATTGGCACCACATAGGAAGCTTATCTCGCACTCCTATAGGGCTCAGTTTGTGTAGAAGGCTGTGGTAAGGCACATTGTTGAAGGCCTTTTTAAAGTCGATAACGATAATATGCATCAAATCTCCTCTATCAATAGCCCGAGTATAGTGTACCAGACAGTAGAGCAAGTTTGCCACACAGGACTTGCCTTTTCGGAATGCATGCTGGAAATCGGAAAATGAATGCTTTTGTTCCAGGAACTGCATCACTTATTGCTTAATTTTCGGATTTGGAGAAGGAGATTAAGGGCCTTAAATTGGAGAAAGAGAAGCTGAGGAATCTGTCTCGCTATTCACCCAGAGAGAATGAAAGCTAGCGAACATACGCAAACACGGCTTCTCAGCTGTGTGACCAGAGGAGAAACAAAAGAGTAGGTCTCTAGAACTCGATATGAATGGCAACCAGTGTCTTGTGCAAGAAAAGGGTGGCCAACGATCCCAACGAACAAAAAGAGGTCTCAAAGCACCTCGAAAAAGGCACAGAGAGTCTGCCGAGGGAGCAAGAGTTGGCTGCATCGCAAACAAAAATCGTGCCGCTGACAAAGACAAATGACCAACAAATCGTAGTAATGAGGTAGTCATTCGCTTATCCTACTGAATCA